TTGAAAGATGCACCGCCCCAGCAGGTTATGCCATATTGAAGCTTAGAGTGAACCAAGGTGTAGTAGAGAGTCTTAAGCGTAGAGTTAGAACAAATCTTTCGTAGACCATAAAAATATCGAACAGTAGACCGCAAGTAGGATTTCAAACGAGAAGTGTGCGTAGACCAACTTAAGGTTTGGTCGACAGAAACACCAAGGTATTGAAAGTCGCTTACTTTTTCAATTAAAAAGCACTCAGGACAACAGTCTGTTTCAGAATTAAAAGATTTAGTGGAGCACAAGAAACTATTCAGTTCAAAGCGCTTGCAGTTAGAGGCATGAAATACAATGTCAATATCGGGTGAGATTTTTGGAATTAGACTGAAATACATGATCTTGGTTTTTTTACTGACAATAAGCTTATGAGCAGAAAACCACCCCCGGAGCAAATGTACGTCCTTATTGACTCCTGCTATAAGATCCAAATAGTTCGAGGAACCAGCAAGGTCGTCTGCGAAGGCTGTAACTTTTCCATAGAAAGGGAGCGAGAATATGGAATTCAAATAAACCAGAAATAGTATCGGACCTAAAACAGATCCTTGAGGCACTCCTAAGCTAATAGTAACAGGATTACTCAAACTACTCCCAACCTTTACTTTTTGCACCCTTCCTGACAAGTAACATTTGAACCAATTATACATAAACCCACGAAAGCCCGCGCAATATAACTTGTCTAATAAGATTTGGTGATCAACCATATCAAATGCTTTTGTGATGTCAACAAACAGACCAGCACAGTTATTTTTATTGTCTAGTTCGCTGTATATAAATGAACAAAATTCCAGTAGAGCATCTTCTGTTGACCGCCCACATCTAAAACCGAATTGCATTGAACTGAAAAAATTTCTTGGTTTCAAGAAAAGATAAGATTCTACTTTTAACAAGTTTCTCAAAAACTTTAGAAATAGAAGAAAGCAAGGAAATTGGCCTGTAATTATTAATATCTTTTTTGTCACCCTTTTTAAACAATGGTATGACAATAGCACATTTTAAGTCAGCGGGAAAAGATCCTGACAAAATACTTCTATTGAACAGATGAGTTAGAATGTCAACTAAATTTAAAGAAACATATTTCAGAACTTGATTCGAAATACCATCAGATCCACATGACTTAGAGTTGTTCAAAGATTTTATTACCTTCAAGACTTCTATGCCGGTGAACGGCTCAAAGAAAAAACTATCACTTGAAATATCATATCCCAAGGATAAAAAATCGCCTGTAGTTTGAGAAACATTAGTTTGTCCTATTGATAGGAAGTGGTCATTAAAAAGATTTGCTACTACTTCAGGGTCACAAAATTTCCCATTATCATCACATAATACAATCGTAGAGTCATTAGATTTAGAACTCCGGTTCAGAAGGCCGTTAATAATGCTCCATTCTTTCTTCGGGTTACCATAAGAGGACCTAAACTCCTTACGATAAAAATTATCACGCTCCAGATGTACTTCTTTTCTCACTTCGTTACATAATTTTAGATACCGGCTACGAAGATTTGCATTTGACGGATGTTTATTACACTTTTTCCCTAGATTATTCTTTAAATTAATTTTTTTTACCAATTCCTTGCTAATCCAAGGTTTTAATTTTGTTT